GCATTCCTGGAGATGCCCTCGCCCTGTTGATCGATGTCCCCCAGCCATCCCCAATGCACGAATGTCTGCCCAGACCGCTGCTTTCCTCAGTTTCCCAGGTGACTCCATTTTATGGGCAGATGAACTGAGGCCCAGGGTGGAACAGTGTCTGGCACTGTGGGCCCTGAGACTCCATTCAAGAGTCTCCATGCCTGTGCCTGGGCTCTGGGGTGGTGCACTGGGGTGGGGATGAGGCCTGCTGTCACAGAGACAGCTGGGGGTACCTGCCAGACCCACAGCCACACGACATTCAGTCAGGTGTCCCTGACAGGAGCTCCCGGCTCCCTGCACAGACCCCAGCCTCCGCCCGCCCCACGTTCCCTCTGCATGAGACTGGGCTGATGGCTGCAGGAGCCACCGTCTCTGCAGCGCCCTTTGCAGGAAAGCAACAGTTTGCTGAGGCCCAGTGCCGTCGTTGCCCATGATTCAGGAAGTTTGGGGCACCCCTGGGGGCCCTCAGGGGAGAGGCGGTTTTGGGGACGAGTTGTTGGAGCTCTGTGGAGGCAGTGCTGGGTGAGCAGCTGTGCAATTGGGGGCTGGTGGCCCAGAAAGACGGGTGCGGTCTAGGGTGCGAGACATCCTACAGTCCAGCTTGGGTCCCTCTAGCGCTACTGATCAGCTTCTGGCTGCCCAAGGCGCCCCTCCTGCCTCAGCCCCGTGGCTGCATTTTCAGGGCTTCCCTGCGATTATAGCTATGAGGGAGCCTGGGTCAGGAATTGTCCCCTGAGGGAGAGGCCAGTGCAGGAGGGTGAAGAATACAGCGTAGGTGGCTGGAAGAGACAGAGGTGGCAGGTGACGCCTGACGTGGGAGCTGGCTTTGCTGTGGATTCTGACAAAACAGACTGGCCTGTACTTATCCCTTACGGAAGGCCACTGGATCCGGGGAGGGGAGGAACTGGGTCCTGCCCTGCCCTAGGCTGTCCCCGGGGTGGAGGGCAAGGTGAACAGGATGGCTTCTACCTCACTGACTTGGGCTTCTCACTCAGAGGCCTGATGCTCCCATAACGTGTGCTTTAGAGACTGAACGTAGGGGGAGGATGCACCCCCCAGCCTCAGGGGGCCCTGCCTTCCCAGGAACAGCCCAGCTAGTCTTCTCTGCGGAGAGAAATCATTTCTGGGTTCACGAGGCTACGCCTCCCAGGGTATCCAGGTCAGCACCTTGGGTCTCTGTGTGGCCCACAGGGCTGGGGGCACTTTGCATGGTGGGCGTGCTGCCCCCTCAGGCCCAACCTGTTTATTTCATCCTTACCCTCTGGGGCTGGGAGCGGGGCGCATCACCCCTATTTCGGCTCGCCAGGTGAGCAGTGCTGGTGTGGGCTTCACTGACCTGGAACAGCTGAGATGGCGCGATGGTGGCCAGCCTGGCTTCCGGGCCCAGGCCAAGGGTTTCCATTCCAGTCCGTGGATGCTCTCACTTCCTATTAGTCACATGCCAGGTCCCCTGGACCCCCACGTGGTGGCAGGTCCTGTCAGAAGGGGCTTCAGCCCACAGCTCACCTCCAGATGCTCCGCAGGTATTGGAATACACGACCAACTAAGTGATGTGCGATTCCTGAGTACCTACTGTGTGCCAGCCCCCCTGTGGGTCTGACCCACTCAGTGATGCACATTTCCTGATCACCTGGGGGGGATGCTGGCCACCCTGTGGGCCTGACCCACTCAGTGATGTGCATTCCCTGATCACCTGCGGGGTGCTGGCCACCCTGTGGGCCTGACCCACTCAGTGATGTGTATTTCCTTTTTTTTTTTTTTTGGAGAGGTTTTTGCTATAGGGTGTGTGCGCTCACCAGACAGACAGAGACAGAGGGGCAGAAAGAAATAAATCACCTCCCCAGGGGGCATGGCCATGCCACAATCCCTTCTCCTCTGTTCTCCTCTCAGGATCTTGGGCACGCACGCACACGCGCCCGGAATGAGTCTTAATCCACCAGGTCCAGGACACGAACTGTGGTCGACTACGTGGGAGTCCAGCGACATAGCCATTATGCTAACGGCTGGTCCCAGTGATGTGTATTTCCTGAGCACCTGCTGGGCGCCAGCCACCCTGTGGGTCTGACCCACTCAGTGATGCGCATTTCCTGAGCACCTGCTGGGTGCCAGACACTGTGTGGGTCCTGGGACTGGTGTCAGGGCCTCACAGTCCCGCCTTCCTGTGGGAGACATCCCTCTGGAGCCCCAGGAACAAAGGAAATTGCTGCTCTGGCCCAGATGGAGGAGAGGAGGTGGAGGCCTGGGGTCTTGGTGGGGCAGCCTGGGGATGTCTCCAGAAGGGCCCATGGAGCTAAGAGCTGAGGCCGAGTAGGACTGAGTGGACAGGATGAGACTGGGCAGAGCACCTGTCAGGGACCAGAGGCAGGAGGGTCTGGGGCCACGGCAGCAAACTGCGCCCACGTCCTAAGAGCATGGGAGGCATTGGAGGGGTCCCCTTCTCCTTTCTGCAGCTGCACCTTTTGGGGTCCCAGGCACGAGAGTCTGGCCAAGAGCCAAAGAGAATGCCGCTTCCAGGGCAACAGTGAAGGCGGGGTCGTCACTTGCCTCCCTTAGCCTCAGTTTCTCCATCTGTCACAGGCTGTCGTGAGGATCTGATGAAGGGTCAAGGGGGCTGTGATGGGGTGCAGCAGCCCACTCCTTGGGCCTGGACAGGCAGGCCCGGTGGCTGCCCCAGCTGGTTTGGAGCTGGGTGGGCTCAGCTGGGAAGCAGAGAATGCGGAATAGGTCGGCTCAAGTCAGGGCTGTGAGCTGCTGTGCTGGGTCTCATCTGTGCTGGCCAGCCCAGGCCTGAATTCTCGAGCTGACGCATCAGGGACATGGTGTTTCCCCTTGGAGGTGCTAGTTGCCAAGGGGAGCTGTTGGTAGCCTCACTCCCAGCCCTGCCAAAAATGAGGAGACAGGACCCGGGCTCTAGCACACTGTGGGGTTGGGGCTACAGCTGGGCCCACGTGGGTGCTTCTTGACCTTCCCGTATACACCGCGTCTGTGAAACCTCGAGCTGTAGCCTCGCCCCTGGCCACGGCCACCCTCGGCTAGACTCGATCACACCCTAGGGGAGATCTCTGCTCAAGCCACTGGGGCTCGACCCACCTCGTCCCCAACCCACTTCCTGCCCAGAGGTGGGGCTGGCATTTCTTGGCCTCCTCTCCTGACAGCCGCCTGCAGCGGGAAGCTGGAGCAGCACACGGAACGGCGTGGTGTCATCTATAGCCCCGCCTGGCCCCTCAACTACCCACCGGGCACCAACTGCAGCTGGTACATCCAGGGCGACCGTGGGGACATGATCACCATCAGGTGAGGGAGCCTAGGTGGTCACAGGGCATCCACGCGGCCTCTGTGTGCTGGGTGAGGGAGCCTGCGTATGAGTCAGTGTGGAAGGCACATGTGTGTGAGAGCACACGTGTGCTTGTGGGCACGTCTGAACAGGCATAAAAGGCACCTGTGCGAGCCCATGAATATGCATGAGTGCATGTCTGTGCAGGTGCAGAGGGCATGTGTATAGCTGTGTGTAAGCTGTAAGCATGTGTGTACGCACGTGACTCCATGCATGAACATGAGTGTGCCCAGTCTCCCAGTCTCTGCACTTCCATGGCTGGGAGTCCTGAGCCAGATCTCTCCTGGCCCTGAGCCTTTTTCATGGAGGCTACCCCAGCCCTGGCAGGAAGGAAGCCCTGGGAATTGGTGGGTATGATCTGGCTGTCTCTGAGGTGGAGAGGTGTCCTTTCTGTCCTGCAGGGGTGGCCTGAGGCCAGGCTGGCACCAAGCCCAGAGCAGGGTTTCCTCAAGGGGCCTCAGCAGGGGAGGAAACCAGACAGGAGTCCTGGGTGCTTGAGCTGCAGGGACGTGCAGAGGGAAATGGCCTGAGGTGACCAGGAACCTCACCTGAGGGGCCGGAGTCCCAGGCCTGGGGGGTTATGGGACATTTGGCTGGGGAGTCTCTATGGGTTCTACCTGCCATAGCTTTTCTCGATGCCAAAGCCTGGTAGGACCCTCCTCCAGTACTCAGCTCCAAAGCACAGGGACTGAGGTTCATGGGTAGGCCTTGTTTTAGTCTCCGTGCCTTAGTTTCCCCAGGGCCAGGGCTCTGGGCCAGGACGGGTAGGTGGTATGTGTGTGTCGGGTGGCGTCCAGGCCAGTGTTTCTCCCCAGCTGCAGTCCTGGCCGCCTGTGGGTGCAGCCTCACCTTCAGTGCCCGTGCCTGGAGTTTGTGCCGGGTCTGTCCCTGCAGACCCGAGTGGGACGGAGCTGGGTCCTGGGACCTCTGTCCTGGGGAGAGGGGCTTCTGATTCCCCCCTCCACCTTGGCTGTGTGTGCCCTGCTGGGAGAAGGGATGCTGCCCGATGATGTCATGATTCCTCGTAAGCAGCCTCAGATCCCTGGGTGGGGACAGTGGGGACAGAGACTGGAGAGGAGCCATGCAGTTTGGGAGACTCGGGTAGGGGCAGTGGATGGGCCAGCCGGGCTGCGGTTCCAGTCCTGCCACCCACGTTGAAAGTCCTCTCCTCCCTCTCCCTCCCAGCTTCCGCAACTTTGATGTGGAGGAATCCCACCAGTGCTCCCTGGACTGGCTGGTGCTGGGTCCCGCGGCCCCGCCCCGCCAGGAGGCCTTCCGGCTCTGCGGCTCCGCCATCCCGCCCGCCTTCATCTCCGCTCGTGACCATGGCTGGATCTTCTTCCACTCCGACGCCTCCAGCTCTGGCCAGGCTCAGGGCTTCCGCCTCTCCTACATCCGAGGTGATGCCCGCCACTGGGTGGGGTTGGGCAGGGACACTCTGGAACATTCTGCACATACACGTGGGCCTCCAGGCCAGAGTGGGGCACCCTACTCTGGGCCCCAGCTCCCTGCCCTGACAGGCCCTGTCAGACCCACCCCAGCAGTGACACAGGTCATGCTGCTGTTTCTGGATACCTTAGAGCCCCTCCAGAACACTGAGCCCACTTTGTGGGCTCAACCAGAGTAGGGAGCTTGCTGTTCCTTAAGAGTGTGCAGGGCCTGAGCCCACTCTTCTCTGGCGCCCTGCCTCTGCCTGGGCTGTGCAGATGCCCAGCTCGGGTGGGGCACCACCGTCTGCTCTAGCCCAGGCCTCTACACTAGAGGGAGGCTCTGCTCTCCCCTGACCATCTCCCACTACCCCTTTGTCCCACAGGGAAGCTGGGTCAGGCGTCCTGCCAGGCCGACGAATTCCGCTGTGACAATGGCAAGTGCCTGCCGGGCCCGTGGCAGTGCAACACCGTGGATGAGTGTGGAGATGGCTCCGATGAGGGCAACTGCTCGGCACCCGCCTCGGAGCCACCGGGCAGCCTGTGCCCCGGGGGCACCTTCCCATGCAGCGGGGCGCGCTCCACGCGGTGCCTGCCTGTGGAGCGGCGCTGTGATGGCACGCAGGATTGCGGTGATGGCTCCGATGAAGCTGGCTGCCCTGACCTGGCCTGTGGCCGGCGGCTGGGCAGCTTCTATGGCTCCTTCGCCTCCCCAGATCTGTTTGGTGCAGCCCGCGGGCCCTCAGATCTGCACTGCACATGGCTGGTGGACACGCAGGACCCACGGCGGGTGCTGCTGCAGCAGGAGCTGCGTCTGGGCTATGACGACTACGTGCAGGTGTACGAGGGCCTGGGCGAGCGTGGGGACCGCCTGCTGCAGACGCTTTCCTACCGCAGCAACCACCGGCCAGTGAGCCTTGAGGCCGCCCAGGGCCGTCTCACCGTGGCCTACCATGCTCGTGCCCGCAGCGCTGGCCACGGTTTCAACGCCACCTACCAGGTGAAGGGCTACTGCCTGCCGTGGGAACAGCCGTGCGGGAGCAGCAGCGAGGGTGACGGCGGCAGTGCAGGCGACCAGGGCTGCTTCTCCGAACCACAGCGCTGCGATGGCTGGTGGCATTGCGCCAGCGGCCGAGACGAGCAGGGCTGCCCTGCCTGCCCGCCTGACCAGTACCCCTGCGAGGGGGGCAGCGGCCTGTGTTACTCACCCGCCGACCGCTGCAACAACCAGAAAAGCTGCCCCGATGGCGCCGACGAGAAGAACTGCTTCTCCTGCCAGCCCGGCACCTTCCACTGTGGCACCAACCTGTGCATCTTCGAGACATGGCGCTGTGATGGCCAAGAGGACTGCCAAGATGGCATGCCGGCCGGCCGCGCCCCGCAAGTTCATCACCGCCGCGCTCATCGGCAGCCTGGTGTGCGGCCTGCTGCTGGTCATCGCCCTGGGCTGCGCCTTCAAGCTCTATTCCCTGCGCACACAGGAGTACAGGTGGGCACGCACCGTGGGCACCGCCGTGGGCACCGCCGTGGCCTGTGCCTGCATCCTGTCCCTGGGGAGAGGCCCCAGGTCTGCGCACGGGGTGTGTACATGGGGCCCGGGCCAGCCGTGTGTGGGCTGCCCCTGTGCACACAGGCTCAGGCATCTCCAGATGCCCAGATGGAGGGGCCGCCCCCGAGTCCTGCTGCTGTGGCACGTCCCAGCCAGCCCTGCCATGCTGCCCTCTGCCCGTTACTTTCAGGGCCTTCGAGACCCAGATGACGCGCCTAGAGGCTGAGTTTGTGCGGCGGGAGGCCCCCCCCTCCTATGGGCAGCTCATCGCACAGGGCCTCATCCCCCCCGTGGAGGACTTTCCCGTCTACAGCGCATCCCAGGTGAGCTCCTGCGGGTGTGAGCGCGCACACGGCCCAGGCTCTGCTGGCTGAACTTCACAGGTGCCCAGGCAGAAAAGCCAAGGGGCGGAGGGACAGACTACAGGCCAGGCTGGCCCACGGCTCGAAGGAGTGGGGAAGTTAGGACTAGGCAGTGTGACCTGGGGACCACTGCCAGGTGGGGGGGGACATGGGTCTTTCGGGGTTCCAGGTCCGTTGAGGGTGTGCTAGCCTCCACCCGAGTGGCCTGGCCTCCCCTTAGCTGCCGCCTCACCCTCAGGCCTCAGTGCTACAGAACCTCCGCCGACAGATGCCCCGCGCCCCCTCCCGCCGGGGACCCTCCCGCCGCCGCCTAGGCCGCCTCTGGAACCGGCTCTTTCATCGGCCACGGGCGCCTCGAGGCCAGATCCCACTGCTGACCGCCGCGCGCACCTCTCAGACAGTGCTGGGTGATGGGCTCCTCCAGCCTGCAGGGACGACCCCGGACCCCCCTGCACCCCTCACGGACACAGACAGCCCCAGGGATGCTGGGGATGGGCCCCCCAGTGCCCCTGGCCAGGCATCAGAGGTGGGACCTTCAGTGCCACCCATGCCCTCGGGCCTGCGAGACCCAGAGTGCAGGCCAATGGACAAGGACAGAAAGGCCATCAGGGACCCTCAGGTGGACAGCCCGGCCCCTGCGGACACACCTCGGGAGCCCTGCTTGGCCCAGGCCCCCTACCCCCAGGCCCCCACTGCCAGCAGCACCCTAGGCCCCCACTCACCAGAGCCACCGGGGGCCTGCAGGAGCCCCCTGCCACCCTGCTCCCCAGCGTTGGAGGCCAGCGATGATGAGGCTCTGCTGGTCTGCTGACCCGCCGGACGTGCTGGTGACCGCCGCAGCCCCGCTTTGTAACCAGGGAATACACAGTCGTTTCTACCCTGCCTACGTGTCCTTCTTTCCCATGGAGAGCCCACCCGGCAGCCCTGCGGAGGGGGCTAGGCCTTCAGCCAGCTGGCTGCTGCAATGTGCCCAGCCCTGGTGGGCATGGCAGGCGAGGGCTGTGGGGTTGGACGGGAAGTAGGGTGGAGGGTAAGCCTGCCTGGAGGGTCTCCATGTACACAAGCACCCCGGGGGCTCGCTTCTACCGCTCCCCTGTTCTGGAAACCCACACCCACAGCAAGGCTCTCTGGGTCGCTTTCCGTGGCTTCTTGCTGCATTCTCTCTGTACGACCAGCCACCCCAGAACTATGGTGAGGACTGCACAGGCCATCGGACATTGGACATCAGTCCATGGTGATGGTGTCCATGCCGAGCCCTCCTGTCCTCAGTGGGGTCCCTGGAGGAGCTGAGCTAGGAGGCTTCTGCCCGCTCATGCCTATGACGGCATCGTGGGTATGGCCAGGCTGGTGCCCTTTATCCCTTGGTTGAGGGGTCCATCTCCTGGGCAGGGCAGGGCTGGAGATGTAGGCACAGGGCAGAGGAAGCCCATGGGGTCTCTTGCAGGCCCTGAGACCCCTGGGACACGCTTCTCTCTGCTTTTGCAAGGGACAGAGGCCAAGCACCAACGGAGTGTGCCCAGATCCATTGCATTCTATCTTGGGGCCTCAGTTTCCCCACCCATAAACCAGGATGAGGCTGTGGGCCTGAGTAGCGACATTCATCCTGCGGTCATTTATGGGAAGAAGAACAATCCTGGCTGGAATCCCTGGGCTCTCCCTGGTGGCCGAGCTCAGGCCTGGGTGAGGGGCAGGTGGCGCTGGACCCTGTGGTGTACAGGGAGTGCCCGGGTCAGGGGGCAGGGCCCTCAATGCCCAGAGTTGCCCAGAGGCTCCAGGGCACCTTCCCTGCCAGCAGTACGCAGCACCGCACACCCGCCGTGCCCACCAGGGACGTCCCGAGCCCGAGCAAACAGCCAGCCCTGTTTATTGATAGGCCTTTTCAAGAAAAGCTAGCAGGGCAGCGCTAAGACAGGAAGCCCAGACCGCATCCTCAGGGCTTCCTTATGACAGGCCTCTAAGAGTCATATCTTTTTTTTTTTTTCCAGAAAAACAAAACAAAACAAAACAAAACAAAACAAAACAAAACAAAACAAAACAAAACAAAACAAAACAAAACAAAACAAAACAAAACAAAACAAAACAAAACAAAACAAAACAAAACAAAACAAAACAAAACAAAACAAAACAAAACAAAACAAAACAAAACAAAACAAAACAAAACAAAACAAAACAAAACAAAACAAAACAAAACAAAACAAAACAAAACAAAACAAAACAAAACAAAACAAAACAAAACAAAACAAAACAAAACAAAACAAAACAAAACAAAACAAAACAAAACAAAACAAAACAAAACAAAACAAAACAAAACAAAACAAAACAAAACAAAACAAAACAAAACAAAACAAAACAAAACAAAACAAAACAAAACAAAACAAAACAAAAACAACCTTTTTTGCAAAAACACCTCCTCAATAAACAACATGTAAACAGAAAGAGCGGCTTAGTCTCTACAAATGTCTCATTGTGTCTTCAAGGGCTTGTCCATGGTGGGCAGAGGGGAGGGCTGAAAGGGGCCCTTTTCTTCCTCCTCGGGAGAGTCCTGGGGGTAGACCACGAAACACAGCTCCTGGCCCCAGCGGGTCATGGACTCTGAGAACAGACAGGGAGATGGACTGTGGGCCCTGATCCTTCGGGATGGGACAACCCCACCTCTGGACATCTCCTCTGGGCAAGGGTCTTTGGGAGCTGCTCCCTCTGCAGGTGGGTTCCAGATACTTCAGCCACATTTGGGGGAGCCATTTGTGTGGTTGGGTCAGGTGATACTACCCCAGCTGCTGGGAGACCCAGCTCCCCTCAAAGGTCCCATTTCCAGGCCCGGCTGCCCGGCCCACCTGTGAGTCTGTGCACACACTTTGGTTTGCTTCTCCAGAACACTCCCAGGAAGAAAATGGGCACCCCTGTGAGGATGATAATGACGCCAACCCCACAGACCATGGGCTCCGAGATGAAGCTGAAGACCAGCAAGAAGGCCCAGAAGACCAAGTACGTGATGGGGACAAGAAGGTTCACCTGGGGGAGAGCGAACAGCAACACCGATGGTATAGGACCTCCCTCCTG